GGTCCTCTCTCCACCAAGAGTCAGTCGGTTCCTTTTGGTTCGTGTCTTTTTAATCTGACCCATTTCAGGCACAATCCAGCCCTGGATGCATGCCCCCCTCTCTCGCTCTCCCCTCTCTCTCTCTTTCGGGCTGTGTGATCCACTGTCTCCCGGATTAGAGCGCCCCTCTCTTCCCATCCTAGACAATTGCGAGTCTCTGCTGATTGGGCTTCAGCGCAAGAGGATTACATGGGCGCACAATGACGTCATGGCCCGGGGCCCAAGCCCCCCTCCCCTCCCCTCCTCCTCACCTCCCCCCATTAAAACCAAATCCTCATCAGCCCCAAATGTCCTTGAAACCACCGGCCTGACTTTCTGCAGCGCGTCATGCATGCATGCACAGGGGCAGACTACTGTTTATGCTTACAGATAACAGTCGTAGCCGATGGTTGGCATTTACTAACAATTTAATATAGCCCATGCACAGGAAGCCGAAATTACATAGCATCTCCACGGTGGCTTGTGTGCACCTGAATACCAACAGCTTGACAGTTTCACCCAGGCAGGTGCATGTCCGGCAGCTAATTGCTGCTACAAACCAAGGTTGCAGGCTTGTGGGAAATAACAAAGTGGACAGGGTCAGCTATAACCTGCACCAACTACCAAAAAGCCCCAAATAAAGTTTTACTCACCTCCAAAAACCCATGGCACAGCCTGTTAGGCCTCTGAACTTAAATCATGCCAAGATGTAATGGCAGCCGAAAGGTGGATGAATTCTACTTTGCTTTTTTTTGGCCTGTAATAAATATATTAGCCCTTCACTGCATGCCTCGTGCAGACAGGCCCAAATCAGCATGCAGTTATTTCCCTGTTGGGACGAAACGTTTTATATACAACATCCATATAGAACTGTATCGTTGCCAAATCTGCAAATGATTACCGTTATTCTTCTAAGGCCTGTGGCCTGTGGTCCCAGATGGTATGGGCTAAAACCATATGCTGCTGCAGCGTGCATCATTAAATATTTTGCGTACGAGGTGAAGATAGAAACATTTATATGTGGTGCATATTTTAAGTTGCACGATATAACAGGCTTACGTGTATGTGTACGTTCTGGCATCCACCTCTGTTAGCACTATGTTGGAGGAAATTCCCTATACAGTCTAATTGATTATGTGATCAAATAATTATTTTATTGGTTTTAGAAGTGTTTAGAATAGATTGCAGGCCTTTTTTGGTGTTATGACCTATATCAGGCTCAGATATTTATTTTACTTCTGAATGCATTACTGTAGTTGTCTTTCTATATTTTGCATGTTGCTTCCATTTCAAGGTTGAAATGTCCATTTTCTATTTCAATAATAATTTTTGTAAAAATGTAGTATAATTTAGTATATAATAATAATCTGACTAACGTGTCAACTAAGAGACCTGGCCTCTTTTTTAAATTTTTCCTTATTTTAGCAAGTTGACCCAAATGTGGGCCTTCATTCTGCAGCCCATCATCAATTTGTGCAATTCAACCTATATTTGATATCTTTCTTTAACATTTGAGTCCTATTAACGCTACTATAAATCTAAGCGTGTTCATATAAAGCATTTCATAAAAATCCTACAGGAATTTATTGATTTGTGTCCCGGAAGAAAATGTCATTGGATTTTCAAATGTTTCTCCCTCCTTCCGTAGCCTGTGTCTACCTCCCACTGTTGGCTGAACAAAGAGATGGAGAGGAGGAACCGTCAGCGCTGTTTAGGATGAAACCGCTCCCCTTTACTCTCGATTACTGAGCCTATAGAATCGCAAATGTGCTCTTTTTCAAACAAATGCAATTATTAACTATTTTAACGGACATGCCTATTGTCGCCTCTCAGCCTTCCTTCGCAATCTACATCTCAAAAACGCGCTTCCTGCATTTACATTAATGCAAGTCAATTCACTAAAGCAAGTCATTTGTTAGGCTTATAGGTCTATTGGTTCCCCGTTGCCAAAAAATGAGAAAAACGTAATAAGCCTGTATAGCGGCCACCTGCTACAGGAGAGGCGTCCTCTGTCCAAATATAGCCTATACTGATAAATCCACGCTGGCTTGGACTCAAAATCCTTTGTTCAGTGTCTTACTCTCGCCGTTGCGGGTATCCTGCAGCCATGCATCATACAGTGTGGCTCCATCGCATCTTCTCTCCATTTTGTGCAACGCGCAGGCCTTCAGTCTGTGCAGAAAACGTGCGTGCGAGTGCAGCAGCTCAGCGTCTAAACTTTGGTGGAAAATAGCCTCCGCAGTCTCTCCACATGCACGGCGAGGCAAAGAGAGAGCCAGATTGTGAATTGAATTGCAGTTGCTTTTTCTCTCCTCATCTCTCCCTCTGCAGAGCTGAGCGGCCTCCACATCTTAAGCTGAATGAAGGGGGAGTTGTCCCTGTGCATTACAATGACATTCAGGCCCCCATTCATTCAGCCACTGTCTAACGGTCTTTGGACAGCAAATGCACCCCCATCGGGGGGTCGCAGCCCCCTCATTACACCCCCAATCCCAACACGCAGCCCCCCACAATAGCCCCAACAAAAGAGAGAGGAGAGTCGGCCCCAGTTGTGCGAGCTGCGGCCCCTGGACTTTTGAGGTACGCTGGGAAAAATATTCCTGTGCATTTGAATTACATTAAGGAACGTGCCGCGGTGGAGTTTAACGTTGAGTTATCGCAGAAAGAACCTCAAAACAAATGTGTGTGCTGTTTAAAATTTCTCCCTACTTGTCTCTGTGAGCTAATCTGCAGCAGGTGAAGTTTGGTATAAAATAAAGGTTCAGTTCAGGTGATGAAAAACGCTGTCTTTTTAATGTAACTGTGCTGTGTCAATAAATGCGCCGCAGTCTCCTTGTGGATCGCAAAAAGTTGACGCAAAGTGAAATACGGTGGTATGGAGTGCACATAAAGAGGCATGCTAAGCTGCAGGACCAGGCTCATGCAGGACTCCGCACAATTAAACATATCCCAGGGAAGTTTAGTTCATTCTCTCTGACCTAAAATCACTCCATAGGTGTAAGGGAAAATTTAATTTAAAGCAATAGGCTACATTTTTAAACACTGCGGAATATGCGCTTTTTATATTGACATTTCACATAAAACGTCGCAACAAAATGATACAGCATAAAAACACCAAGATTTTAAATGTGTGTTTTAAAAACAGATTATTTTTAAACGTTCTTTTGTAACATTGTTGCTTAACTGTTCACCTGTAAACAACATGCAAGCAAACAAACAGCAGCTTATCTCAACCCATTTGAATTCGCTCCTTCAGTAATCTCTGTTACCATATTCACCTTTCTGAATTTAATTGAATAATTGATCACATTAAAACATAGCCCACATATAGCATAATAATAATAATAATGATAATAATAATAATAATAATAATAATAATAATAATAATAATAATAATACACTAACTACCGATTTAAAATAGTGGACATTGTTTGAGAAATTGTCCCGGTGTGGAGAGCCAACTTTCCCAGGGAAATCATACCGATTTCCGAAATGCAGTTGAAGGCCCGAATAGGCACAGCTGGGCATCTGCTTATGGGCCTATTCATCAGGAGGAGGGAGAGGTCAGCGCTGCGGCCGGTGGGCAGCTCTGCACTATAAGCTCGTTATGCAGATACACAGCTTATAGTTTATAACAGGACTCTCCTCTAACACAGCGAGGAGACACTCTGAGTCTAAATAAATCACCTTCATCAGGTGATCAGGAACGTTTTGGGCGGGATTAATGCGTTAATTAAACATTTTTGAAGATAGTTTTACATATTATTTAGTCAATTAATGTTGATTTTCATACAAGTTGTGTTATTTTTTATTATTGTATTAATCTGAATTATTATTGCAGTTTATATTGGATTTTTCTTTCTTTCTTTCTTTCTTTCTTTCTTTCTTTCTTTCTTTCTTTCTTTCTCGTAAAATAGCCCACCTATGTGTCATTTGTACTTTTCTCCCCCCTTGTTTTATTTTGCCTTACTTACAGCCAAGCAGGTTGAAACATTTCAAATTTGAGAAGCAAAAGAAAAAAAAGAAAAAAACGTGTGGGTAAGCTTTTCTTAAATGCAGGAAATTTGCTTTAAAACATTGACTGAACTTTATCAAAGAGAAAAAAAACGAATCTCCGGTGCATTTTTCCCCTAAACCTCCCACACTTTTATACTGGCACTGCTACTTGTTTTGAGAGGCATATAAAGAGGTGTAATTTTGCAAACATTTCTTAAGTGCAGAGAGCCAGAAGGACCCTCTAGTATTGTCCAGGGAGAGAAAGAGAAACACGTTGACAAAGGAATCCATTGTTCCTGGTGAACAATTCAAGGGGCCTAGTAAGCTGTCCTCTACGATCAGGCAGCCGGCCGCTGATTTGAATGCAAGGGGCCCCTCCAAGGAGAAATGGTAATATATGGCAAGATATAACAAACAGTAGCCTATATTAAACCGTGCAAGTCGGCTATTACCAGGTCCTGTACACACACATGCACACACACACTAGACAGAGAGAGGGAGAGAGAAGTTGGAAGCTGGAGGAAAACTTTACTGTACTCTGGATACAATGTGTTACACCTGCTCTCAGGATGAACCCCACTTTTATTTTTTAGAGCCTCAGTAAAGCTAATGTGGTCCACATGGTCACAGGTAAGCTTATATTGATGCAGTAATATTACCTAAAATTATTTTAAATTTTATTTGTTCTCTTAGAAAAAATAATAGTGATCTAAATCAATGTATATTATATTCTCCTATTACTGTAATTGTTTCTAGGTGCCCATGGTAATGTACACCTGGTATGAAATAAGATGATAGCTAATAAAGTTAAGGCTTAACTTGCACTGTACCTTAGCCATAAAATCACTGTTATGACAGGCTTTTAAAAAATATATTATTTATTTTAAATTAGTTCTAACCTGCTAACATTTTTGTGCTGATAGAAATTCCTTATTTTCATTTTATTTTATTTTGCACTCCTTTGCTACAAGCTACACTCAAGCAATAAAAGATCACTTATTTTACACTCCTAAAGACATTCGCACAACAAAATTAAATCAAATGCAAACGAGCAAAGAAGGGTCTGTGTGTTATGCGTTCGAAGTTGTACTAAAAGTCAGTTTTGCATGTTGATTTGGACGCTGTCAGTTGAATTTTGGCCGCACAAATGCAGAATGACCCGAAATCCCAAATGTCACGGTTCATCATTTCACAATGAGAAAAAAATTGCTCTGCACATTTGTTGAGAGATGGACTGTCATCTATGTGTCTCAGAACAATGATTTGTACACACACACACACACACACACACACACACACACACACACACACACACACACACACACACACACACACACAGGTTATAAACACCAGAAGCACAATTCCTCACATTATTATTTTATACACACCTTCTCTGGCAATTCCTCATTTGGATGTTTTATAGACGAATGAATTACATTTGTCCTTTGCTTCGTGGACTCTATATCAATAATGTTGAGCCACTTGACCAGCGAGGAGAGTATCAGTACTAATGTGGAGGTCCTTGACTCTGTCTGATAAATGTCATGAGCTGTTTGCATTGATCTGTTTGTGACACAGCCAGCAGAAAAGGATAATTATCTTGTGCACGTACACTGTATGTTTGAAGTGCTCTTGAATCTCAAATCTACCCTGAACTCTCCCTAAATGTGTGTTTGTATACACAATTAAGTCTGCATCTGAATACGTGTCTGTGTGTGTTAACTGACAATTGTGAAGCCTCGAAATCAATACCTCCTAGAATTAATGATTGTATGACGATTTAGATTGGAATGATGGTGCTGATAATGTTGGCGTGCGAGGGTTGTGTGAATGAACGGCACAGATTGATGTATAAGTGGTGCAAAATTCACCTTGAGTGTGTGTTTGACTGTGTGGCTATGTGTTCATATGGCTGGGTCTTCCATTCGTGCACGTTATCATTATCCTGTACATGACTGAAGCTGCTCCTCAGTCATGTACTCCAGCCTGAGCAGTTAGGAAGCTGGAGAGGACATAGACTCCTGAACAGGACACACTGAATAACCAGTAGCATGAACTGCACAGATATTCATTACTAGCTTTTGTAAAACAAGTCAAATTCCAATGAGTGTAATACATTGGCAGCAAAGACAGTTTTTTTTTGTATTCCACCAAGACAGAGAGCAGAGGTGACACCACTGCTGAGGTGAGTTTTACACAAATCCTGCATGTCAGCCGTTCACATGAAAACAAAGGTGCACGTTTAACCTCCCTTCAAAGCGTTGCTCTTACTGATGCTCATTCATGGCCAGCTGATGCTGTTTTATAAGTGCATGTGGAGTAGCACAAAGACACACAGAAGTCCATCTTTTTCCCCTTTCTGGCTCTGTCACACACAAATTCACACACACACACACACACACACACACACACACACACACACACACACACACACACACAGCATGCAAACCTGCAACAATTCAATAAACTTATGCACAGCTTTTCCCATCCACACACTGTGACTAAACCTCGCTTTCGTCTCATATTCGCAGCACACCGCTCCTCTACGCTGTCAGTTAACCCTGCAATTAACCCGCACCTCAGCCAAACATCATTAGGGAGGGAGCGAAGGAGGGAGAGGAGAATTGAGTAAGGCGAGAGACAGATAAATGGAGAAAGCGGGGAATGGTGATCTTGTCGTGCATATGTGGGAAATTAAGATATGACAATTTACAAATAAACAAACAAAGTATTGTAATTCTATTTATTCTTTTTTCCTCATTCATATTGTTTCTACACAATTGGTTTTTTATTAATTTTATTTTGTAAACCTGTCTTGTTCCCTTGCTGACATATATTTTGTGCTTTTCTGGATATATGACATTGTATATGTCTTTTTAAAAAATGGATTGTGAATGATTAAGCTACATGAACCATATAGCCTCACCTCTGTGACCTCTCCCATCCCCCACACTTTTTTGCAGATTGGGTAGGCCCCAGTTAAGAGGTTTGGGGCGTTGGAGCATCAGAGAGGTTTTGCATACAGCTGTATTCAAGTCTGGGGCAACTCCACTGACAGGCTGATGGAGGAGTGTGACCAAACCCAACATTTTGTATCATTAAATACAGAGATAATTTTTTGCGTTTATTTAGATTCTATGATCAAAGTGACAGACATTTTTGAATTGGGATGACACTGAAAACCAGAGGGGTGGATGGTGGAAGCTAAATGTTAAAAGATGAGGGTGCTGACCTTTTATCATCTCTGTTGTGTGTTGTAGGAGCTGCCTTCAGAGAAACAGCAGAATGGAGTCAAACAGATGAAGGTGTTTCTTTACATCATTTCATCACTGTAACCCGGGGCAGACAATGTGAGGATGTAGCCTACAGAAAATGTAGTAATGGATTTTTATCCCAGAACACTTCTGCTCTTTACTGGATATATACTGATGGGTAATTAATGCAAGTATACTATACACTTAAACAAGACAAAATACCATAGATATTTTAAGATTTTTTGTTGAAATGCATTGCTTGTTTGGTTTGCTTGTAACATTTATAGAAATTCAAATTTCAAAACTGTAGATTACATCACAATTGTTCTAAATATTACCCATAAACTATTAAACTAATTTCATATCCTACAGAACTTTGTATGTTTAGATGACAACAATGCAGCTGGAGATAAGGTTGATGAGATCGTACACTGAGGTTACGGTTCAGACATTGTTTTCCTCCCTGCTGGTATACGGCCCCTTATATTGGGACAGTGCGGTGCACATTGTGTCTAGTGGGCATTGTGGAGTATCTGGGGGAACTGTTTAGTCCCCCATAAGAAGATTAGAGATGATTGGTTTTATTGACCGGCCTATGCTGCGGTTATCAGGGCGACTCTCAGAGCACAGAGCCACGCTTTTGTCTGGCCCTCATTGTTCTTCCCAGCCCAAGACTCTGCACTGATATGAATTTGATATGACAGTAAAGTGCCAATTATGTACATACATGCAAGGCCCTGCTCCCTTTCAGCTCTGTGTGGAGTGAAAAGACAGGGAAGATGAGGAAGACACGGGAGGAGAGATAAGGTGATGGAATATCTTGAAGGGTTAGCGAGCGGGTCTTGAGGATAATTTGCTGCAAGAATCTGGAGTCTGTTATTTTCCGGATCCTGATGTTGTCAATAAAACGCTGCCATTGAAACATTGATGTGTGATAAAGAGGTTACGTGGGTGTGTGTGTGTTTTTTTTCCTACCAGCTAGCCTGTCACATCTTATCAGCATCAGCTACATCTGTGATGTGGTGATTATTGTCATCAAGGGTTACTAAATTACAGAAAACATGAATATTATTCTGCCTTCTTTTTAATGCTGTACATATTAGTTGATTTTATTTCAATTTCTTTATTGATTTATTGATCATTAAGTTTACCTCCATTACTGTATTCAACCATGGCAATAGCTTCATTTGATAACAGTGTATAAACTTATTTCAGATATGCTTCATCATAAATCAAAATTTACTTTACATGCATTATATAGATTATACAGCATCATAAAATATAAAACTGCTTGCTATGTGCACTAATGTGTGTTTACAACTGTAAACTGTGTCTGTGTCTGGCTGTTAGCGTGTGTGTGTGTACTTGAATCAGGCTAACATTTGAAATCAAAGTCGGAAACGGTGTGTAAGTCCATTTCTAATTCCCTTTTATTCCTCTCTTCCTTTTCTCTCGCTTTTATGTACTTGTCTTGGAAAAAAGGTGTTAAATCATCTAAATCATTCCCTGGCTATTATATCCAATTAATGCCTCCTCATGGTGTTTTATTGTGTTATAAACTGCTATTGCTTGTGGTTCAGTAGACAAACACAATGTGTGTCTGTGCCGCCTGCCACTGGGGCTGGCTGTGGCTGTGCTGGGGAGGGACAGAGGGGGACTTGGCCACTGCCCATGGGGGCCCTGGCCACTCTAAATCAGTTAGTTTTGGAGGAGATCCTAGTCGGCTTTTTAAGAGGGTCCATTATAGGCTTGTTAATGCCTCAGCCGAGGGGGAAACACTACTAACTGCACTCAATTCTCTATGCACTCAGTCTCCTTCTCACTCGCTCTCTCACAAACACACACACACACACACACACACACACACACACACACACACACACACACACACACACACACACACACACACACACACCTACAAACACACACCCATTTTCTTCTCTCCCTCACTCTCCTTTCGCTTGTGTGTTTCTTCTTGAGATGTGTGAGCGACTGTGTGTTGTCTTCTCAGTGTATCCAGTGTGTTTTCCGTGCACATGACACACCCATCTCTGCCTCTGACTCCTCTTCATGAATTTCATGGGTTTGGCCTTCACTGAAAGTAACACAATATCACAAAGTCTACCCATTTCTTGCATTGATCTGTGTGCTCTGGGTCTGAATGTGTTCTTTTGTTAACACATGTGTGCAGCTATGGCCATGTGTGAGTGTGTGTGTGTGTGTGTATGGTCTGTAAAATGTGTTAAGCAGATTGAGGGTTTCTTTGAAGATGTACTTTGGAGGCTACAGGGGGATTCAGGAGTGTGTTATTGCATATTTAGGACAGTGTGTGAGGGTCTTTTGAGGGAGTATGTGTGTGGGAAATTTTAATTCACACTATAAGTGTGAAGCAGCTTAGTTCATTTATCACTGAAAGGAAATACCCAGAGTGGTGTTTCAACTCCCAGTAGGTCCGCTGTCACACTGAGCTCTGGAGGATCCTAACTAGCTGCAAAACCAAAAACTACAAAGTTCATCGAGGAACAATTGCTTGCTGGTAATGTCAGTTACCACTTCATCTCCTGTTTCATCCATATGCAGACGTTTTTATTCAGTTGTGTTTTCCCGCTGCTTTATATTGAGTTCTGCATTTTTCTTCTCAGCCAAAGCGGTCACGGCTGCTTTGTTCTGCTCGTGGTCGAGCTATAGGCAGCGATATTGCCACACCTGAGGTGCAAGCTAATGTCCTCCATCTCCGCATTCTGAACCGTCGTCAAGGAAAGGTGCCTCTTGGTTGCCCTGGAAACCATGCCTCCCAGCATGCTTTGTGTGAGTGACAGGAGGAAGGTGTGACAGACTGAAAGCTTTGTGTAAATGGACATCTTGCGAGCTGGACAGGCTGTGAAGCCTTTTTGATTCATCAACAGTGCCTAAATGTACCACTGTTGATTCCTCATGTGTTTGCAAACATTAAAACAGTGTAGTTATTATAAACCATAGTTCATGTTTTTAATTCTGCATAGTTGCTCTGTCCAAACTGAATGGAAAGACTTGGAAGATATGATGTAATTATCTTGTTCCTCCACATGGTCAAATTCTTATTCTCAGGGAAAAGATGTGCAAATTCTACAGCTATACCAGCAACATAATCTTGCTGTTGAGGGGAATGAGCAGGATAAGTGGCTGCCATGATTGGTTACAGCAGTGGCAGCCTGTGTTCATCTCGCTCCCCTCTGTGCTTGCTCATGCGAGACGCTCTGAGAGTGTGTCCTGACATGCGTGTCCCTGCGTATGTGTCCAGAGAATGTGGGTCTGCCTTCTCCTCTGAGTAAGTGCAGAACTTAAAGTAGTTCTGTACGGCATGTCTGCGTGTTGATCAAAGTATGTAAAAAAGTAAGGTTAAGAGTAATTGACTTCAGTAAAGGACAGTTGGCGCAGTACTTTGCAGTCTGCAATAAGTGCATGCATGTTTGCAAGTGTGTTGGGTGGATGTTGACATCAATACAATCAGCTCTTAAATTTCAAATCTTGTGTGTGTGTATCTTTGCAGGGTTCAATCTCAGAAGCCTGATAAAGTGTGAAACCAATAACTGATAAAGTATCAGTCAGCAGGCAGTGCTGTCCAGTGGTGAACCTGGAAATGGACCTTTTCCTGAACACTGACCAGATAAGCAAAATCAGAAATAACTGACTCCAGGGAGCGCCTGTCAAGTCTTACTGGTATGTAGTTTCACTTTCAGTGCAGTTTCAGTTTGTGTGGATTTTTGCAAGCCATTGTTTGGTATTTTGAATTAATAAAAATAACTCTAATTCTAATTATGCTGCCACTTTCAAGGCAAGGAAACAGCTCAGAGTGCAGTACTTCTCAAAGCATTCATCCCTGAAGACAAGGAGACACAAGAATAAAGTAAACAACAATGGCATCCACAAATATTGACATTATAACTTCTTAAATCAATTAAAAAGTGATAAAAAAATCAAAGAGGGGTCTTCTCTGCACTTGCTATTTCAACCTCAATCGATAGGCCTCTCTTGATTACATCATAACCTTACCTGTGTCCATCCTACTGTTACCCCACCATACCCTACTAATACCCTACAGCTGTTGTTTTTACTTGACTGAAAAATTTAACAACAAACTCTGACCCCCCCCCCCACAAACCCCATTTGAGAATTTTTTTAACAAATGCCCCACTACACAAAACCGATAATGGGACTGTGAAATCCCCACACCCACACATTTTCCCACCCCATTATCATTATCACCATGTTATCACCACATTGTCATTAGCTGCATCTGACACAGCGCAGTCTGCGTTGTGCCTTTAAATATTTTCTATCAGGTTCTGATTACCGTGGCTCCCACTTTAGGTGCGGCACTGCTGTGTGAAACAGACATAATATACATTTCATGTTTGTTGTTGTTCTGATGGGAAGAAAAATCTCTGAGCGAACAGATTCCCAACCTACTTCTCTCTTATTTTCATATTTTGTCCTTGTTTTGGTTCAAATCTACTTATCCAACCAGCCAGGGTTTTTCTCACTGAGCCTATTCCAGTCTTTCTGACCTCCTACTTCTTTTCCCTCATCTCTCCTTTTCTTATTGGCCTCTTATCATTCTGTCTTTTTCGCTCATTAGCCTACTTTATCCTCCTTTCCTCTCCTCTGTTCTCCTCTCCTCTCCTCTCCTCTCCTCTCCATCCTGCATGCCTCAGCAGCCTCTCCTTCCTGTCTGTCTGTGTTGGCATGAGCCTGCCTGGCTCTGCCCCCGCCTGCCCGCACTTTATGCTGATTGGACCAGCTGTTCCACTTAAATTCACCATGGCAACCACAACCTGTCGCCTAGCAACCCTGCTCTTCTCCCTGATTCCTGCCAGTGTTCTCCACAGGCAGAGGGAGAGAGAAAAGGAGAAGAAGAGATTGAAAATTCCCTCAGATTTGTGTGTGTGTGTGTGTGTGTGTGTGTGTGTGTTGGTGTGTGTGTGTGTGTGTGTGTGTGTGTGTGTGTGTGTGTGTGTGTGTGTGTGTGTATGCGGACATGGGTATGTTTGGCTCCTCTTCTCTGAGTCGGAAATGAAATGTGTTGATGAGATGGTTAAATGCAGACTGTGTTTGCATGTAGGCCAGAGGGACCTTCAGTTAACTGGGAGTAGGCTCGCAGGCAGAGACGTATGCACCAAATGAAGGTTGCTGTGTGCGTGTGTGTGTATGTGTGTGTGTGTGTGTGTGTGTGTGTGTGTGTGTGTGTGTGTGTGTGTGTGTGTGCGCCTCCTTGTCTCACGTTGACTGGACTTGTCCTCTCAGGCGTGATGAGAGCAAGGGTACATGCAAGCTCATGCTAAAGAATTCATGGCACTGCTGCTCTCAGAGGCCCCACTGTCAGTGTAGCCTCATGGTCCAAGCATACTAATCAGAGACGCTGGATATTTGGAGACACACACACACACGTATGAACACCAAAACGGGTTTAGTCGACACTTTGTTCTGGCATGTCGCTGTCTACCTATTTTAACCAGGGAAGATTACCCAGTTGCTAATAGACTTTTCCTGCGGCCTGGGAACCAGTCCCATGGACCAGGTAATCCCACGGCTCATCCCCTGCAGATGAACTCTTATCCTGGGGAGAGCAACACGAAGCTCCCCTCCAACTCTCATAATTGGATCTCATACAAGTCCTTAGTTGTTGTCGCTCACCTCACCTCTGCATCAAAGAAATATTAAATACAGTACCTATTCCAAGCCTCTGGTGTGCTGCTTCTGTACAATGTGTAACAAGTGTATGCATTCTGTACAATGTGTAACAAGTGTATGCATTCTGTACAGTCCCACAGTGTATTTTTAGTGATGACATAGACATAATTAATTATGAATTTATTTGAATATGTGTTCAACTGCCTTCATCATCTCTATAGAGAATTCAGCCTGGCTTGCTAATTAATGTGAGCAACTGAATCCTGAGCAAACATAGATCATAGTAATAAATGAGGAGCCATAAATGCAACATAAATTCTCCAATGATACTGTATAATGTGCCAGAGAAGTACTGCAAAATGTAGACTGTGTAGACTTATTGTGGGAAATTAAAGGGATAACAACATGAGGTTTTCTTAGATGGTGATTCATAAAAACAGCTTCAATATACACACTCTGTATATGTATATTTATCTAGTTGCTAGAAACCGATTTGCTGCTAGCCATAATATTAATTAGCATTTAATAACCTTACTTTTGGGGATCAGAGTAAGAGCCACTTTAGAGATAATTTTATAACCTGCATCCATAAATATTCAACAGGGAGGACATTTGTGCATCATATGCAGGAACATCCCTAACTGCTTTAACTGACAAAGATAACAATGGCCAAAGCTATCTGTCAACACTTTAATAATTCATTATAAATAAACAACTAGCTCCATGGTCAAATTTTCATTTTGTCCAATACTCTGGTTTATGACCAAATACCTGCAAAACAAACAAAACAAACAACATTCCCATCAGCTACATGTGCACTTTCTGCGTAGTCCCAATTAGCACACGTTGCCATGCAAACACTAAACTAAGATGGTGAAATGGTAAATATTACCTGCTAAATATCAGCATGTTAGCATTGTCATTCTGCGCCTATTGACATTTTGAAGTCAGTGTTCAACTCATAGTACCATTGTGCAAAGCACAGGTGTAAATAATGGAATTAATGGCTGGATTGCATTTAGCTGCTTCAGTTTCAGGGTCCTGGTATTGTGCATGCTGGCTCGCTGTCACACTCTCATGACTTACTGAGATACTTGCATGGAACAGAGCCATTGTTATTGTTTTTAGTAACAGTAAAACTGTATTCTGCGACGCCTTCATTGTGCTTTCAACCATATATGAGGCTGTACAAGGCCTCCTCTTGCTCAAGACATTGAGGTGAGCTGTTAAGTAGTGAGCTATCAAAAGCAAAATATTAGTCAAATACTGACATGTTTAACCTGAAACAAAAGTTAAAAGTATGGCTCTTTTTTTTTTTTTTTTACTGTTTCTATTTTTAGCGGCTCTGGTTAGGAGAGCCATTTATCGCAAGGAACAAGATGTTATAAAACAAGGGGAGGCAGGGTGGAAAATCACACTGAGCGATGACCAGACTTGCTCAGTGTGACTCTATTTCTGTGTAAAACTATCTGCCAAACGCATACACACAAACATAAGCAAGCACTCCTCAAATTATTACTTGAAGTGCAGCTTTTTCCTCCTCTCTGCCCTTTTGATTGACTTTGTATTACCCACACTTGCCCTCCTCCCAGCTCCTCTTCTCTCTCGCTGCTGTCATTCTCTCTGGGTCCCCCCCCCTCGCCTCAGAAGAAAAAGCAGATATGACTTGTGTCTGATCTCCAGCCTCTAATGCGTGTTTTGGTTGGTTTATAGATATAACTCCTGTTCATGTAATGTCAACACAGACTGCCTCAGCAATTATGTGTTTTTGAACTCTTTGTTTTCATTGACTTTCCCAAAACACTGCAGCCACAGGGTCAGAGATGCGTCAAGGATAATAGCTGGTATCTTTCATAGCTAATCACACACACACACACACTAAGACACACTGGTGCAGAGACACATGCAGGGACTCAAACCCTTACAAAGTAAACACTCTGAAAAACAACACCACTAAAAGGAAAGGACCTTGCAATAAGTCATTTGCATGAGATGGTACATGCATAGTCCATTAAAGAATAAGATGAAGGGAAACAAGCCAAGGCTCTTATGGTAATTGAAATAGGTTTTCCTGAGAGGCTGCCAGGTGGCCCACCAGGATTTGAAGCAACACAGGGCCCCTCGTGTCAAATGGGGCCCCAACACCAATCTGTCTGATTGGAAACCCCCAAGTTTAAAACATGGAAGGAACAGCCCTTGCACACACAGGGAGCTGGGATCTGAAGGGTCAGACCTCGACCTCCACAGTATGCCAGTTCCCTTCAGCTGCACATTACCCTTCCCTGCAAGCACCGCAGGGGCTGGTTGTGCTTTAAAGGCCTTTCTTGATCAGCTTCTTTCTATAAGCAATGTGGGCCTACATTAAGACAAAATATTCTGTTTTGATTATTTCTCATGAAAGATTTCTGTATTTAGTGTTTTCTCACAAGGGCAAAGTGGGCGTCACGGTATGTCTTTGAACCACTCAGGGTTATGAAACATTTGAATCAGAATCTGATAACAGTTGTTTGGGTTGTTTGGTCACAATCAAATCTGATCAAACCACATCTGCACTGTCCTGATGGAGCATACTAGCTCAGTTTTTTTTTAAAGAATTTTAACTCTTAATAGGCCTTAATAATAACTAAACAACAAAAAAGATCATTTAACTCTGAATGTTGTTCTTTTAACTTTTAAGGTTTAAGATTTAAATGTTCCCTGAAATAATTGTTTTGTTACGATTTCTGCTTGCTCCCATCTCTGCTTCAGTCAAGTCTATATTACTGTATTAGGAACTGATTTGTAAAGCCATTGGACCTTCGCGCTGGGGAAGCTTCCACAGCGAGGAACACAGAGATTATACAGGGATTAAGTGGCGTAATCTCACATGTTGCTCTGTGATGCTGTCTGAAAAAATTAATACACACAGAAGGACATACATCTAATACATACTTGTTTGTACACTGATGAGACAATTTCCTTGAAAATAAATTGACAACTGCAACTGCTGAATTGAGAAGCACAGAAACTTCACAGAATTTTCTGACAGCACTTTATCTTCCTTCTTTCCAGAACAAAAATATATAAAACTGCAAAGTTTTTTAGATTTCACCATCGATCTCTTCTTTCGTCCATCCTTCTTTATCTACTGTTGACAGATCGTTGACCTTCCTCATATTCGCTCTTCTTCCCCTTTTTTCTGAAGGAGAGATAAAGGAAAAGATGGGTCTCTTGGAGAGTCTGCGGTATTTTGGAGGATTGAGGTTGATTATTTTTGGGGATGGGGAGGAGGTTGCTGGATGAAAACAGAGGTCCTGGCTCTGCTTTAAGATAGCCTTAAGTGACGCTTTGATTGCAGTGACAGTTGATCTTTATTATAAAATTCCATAATGGAAAATCGACCCTTTCCACTAAGCCCAGGACCTTATCTGTGCGAGTCTGCACTGGATGGAAGTGTGTGTGCACGTGTGTGTGTGTGTGTGTGTGTGTGTGTGTGTGTGAGTGTGCATCTGAGGGGTTATTCAAGAGATAAAAAGGGCAAAGACAAGTGATGAAATCAAACTGAACAAAACTGACTACACCTTTTTTGCACTTTTCTCTATTGATTGATATATAACATTAAATCTTGGATTTGGGGCACTAATTGAATTCTTATTGCTGCTAGAGATTAACTACATGCTAAAATTAAAAATTCTGTAGTCTGTTTGGTCCCTTGGGTGAGCACGCGTGTGTGGTGAACAATGCTGCTGTTAGCCAGACTGCATCACTCCAGCAGGACCTGATGATAAGGGGCCCTACATTCACCCACAAGCCTATAGGACAATAGCAGGCTGGGGCCTTGCTGCCGTCTCGGCGGCCTGGCTCTCCTTTTGTCTGTTTGGATGTGTGAAGCTTCAGTGACAGATGGCAGGGACATACTGCCATATCTGTTACCTTTCCGAGTGACGTGCAATATGTACTCTTTCCTACAGGCGACCGCAGAGAGTCGGCAGCTGTCCATCCCTCTCCCCGCACTGCCCTGCATTGACTGAAACACCAACAGCCCAAATTCAGCTGAAAATTTCCACAGAGAATAATCAGGCTAAAACATGTTATGTTGTTATTATAAATCAAAAGCCATCACTAATATTGTATATACAGGCTGGAGCAAATATCATATTATGATGAAAAATTGAATTTCAACATATACTTATGTGGCAAATTATATAGACTCTTCTATTTGTAGCCAGTGTTATTTTCGGTTTCTGTTGAACTCTGTGTTGTCTGAGAATAATTGATTGACTGTATGCTTTCATATTTACATCAAATCAGTCCCCAGGGCTGCACTGTGCAGAATAAAAATCGGAAATGGCGTAACCTATGTCATCTTTATTCTGAGAGTATCTCCTCTCCCCTCCTCTCCTGTAACATGGCTACAAGTAACGTTAATTTCTTTGTGCCTCTAGACAGAATCAAATGCTATCTGTAATATGCAGCCTTGATGAAAATGTGTATGAATCACCAAGGGCAAGCCTGAGAAATTTAATTCTTTTAGGTTATATGACTCACTGTAAAACACTACCAATAAAAGTGTCTGCATGCTCTCTCCCTGTATCTGTGTATATATGTGTGTGTGTGTGTGTGTGTGTGTGTGTGTGTGAGTGTGTGTGTGTGCCTCTCCTCCTCCCCCTGTATGTGATTTATAATGGCGTAGCCCTAGTGAGGGCCTTTGGAGGCAGATCGAGGGGAATTGGTCTAATTTGCGTGAACTACTGTTGATTTATAGCCCAGTCAGAGGTTAATGATGGTGTCGCTCATTGCCGCTTGTTCTTTCCACTGTAATGTCGTTATAAGGAGGCAATGCCAAGACCCCGCGGCATTGTATCCATCCTTCCTTTCCGCACAGTGACCCTTCTCTCCTCCCCTCTTCGCCAGTAACCCCTGACACTTCATCTCACCTCACCTACACAGCTCCACCAGTCACTCAGTGGAGATGTACTGGAGATGTTGATTGTAGTAATGAACAGACTTTTTTGGACAAATGCCTTTACTGAGTGCTCTGTGGAATTTGGGTTCACCTACAGCAACATGCAGGAGCCAATTTTCAAAATGTATCTTAACTAGTATGAACAGTTAGCTAATAAAGTAAAGTGAAAATGACAAAAAAATTAGATTTTTGTTTTGAATTATGCGTTAAAAATTGAAGGCATCTTGCTACAGTGAGAATAAAATTGCACTGTTTGGACACAACTAGAAACAAAGAAGTGAGTATGGTGACGTATATGTCTCAACATTTTGCGCAGGAAACTACAATAATTGGTCAAATTTGCAGAAAAGTTGTGGTGATTGGACAAAATTGCAAGGCTGCTCAAAATACACATAGGGACTGGTGTAGGTTTTACCATGACACTGGCTCACCAAAGGTGGGCCCTGCAGACATAGGTGTATTTAGGATCTCCATCGAACTAATTATGTAACTTCTAAAACTAATTGCTCCAGTGAGGATTTATATCTCCAGTTAAAGGGAGTGCAAACAAGTGCTCAGATGAAAAGAAGATAAAAATTCTCTATAAAGCTTCATAAAATCAAGGGGAGCCAAAGACTTGTCATTTGATAAATCTTTTAAAACTATTGATGATAATAATACTAATAATAACAATAATAAACTTTATTTATATAACACCTTCTAAAACATACAGCATTTTAGCCACTTTAAGTACAATACATAGGAAAATCTACTTTGTTACTTTCCACGACTGGCAGGAGCACATTGAGCAAGTACACTCACACTCACACACAAACACACACACACACACACACACACACACACACACACACACACACACACACACACACACACACACACACACACAGACTTCGTGACATTGACACAGACACTCTGTGGCTGCAGCGGCGGTTCCAGACAGGGCTCATCTGTGCGTGTCTCCAGAAGCAAGGAATGTTGGTAGCATCAGCCCAGGAGAGGTTGTGTCTGTCTGGGCATGGATGCTGCCCTGTCACCCACCCCGCTGCTCCCACCCCAAACCTACCTCTGCCTCCCTGAACAGCAGCAGCACAGCATGAGAAACCCGGAGACAAAGTCTGCATACAGAAGAGAGAGAAACGCTAGAAACTGAAAAGTAATGCACTGGAGAAGTGTGCAAGTTCACGCGCCTGCTTGCCTTGTACACCAACTCCATCTCTTATTGCTTTATACATTGAAAATAATAATTTGCTAATCTATCCAGCCTTTGTCAATGAATGTACAATTCATCCACCCACGTTCAACCCTGAAAATGTTTTCCACTTGACCTGTGAGAAAGGGTGCTTTGGAATATTTGTCACAGCAGCAGCACTGTGAGAGGAGGCAGCCATAGTCTAATGTTGGGGGAGGAAAATATCCAAAGTATTTACAAAACACCCATGACACGTGTCAAATCAGTGTTGCTGTGCTGTTTGTAGTCAGCTCTTGACGGTGCCAAAGCGTTGCCAAAGAGAATTCTGTAGCGCTGTGGCTCGTCAGCTGGGTATTGCATTTTCTGCTTTTATGAAAAAAAATCTACGTGCGCGTCTTTCCCAAGAAACACTCATGAATTCCAAACTACTTTGACAGATTTTCAGAGGCGTGAACGGGTCTCTCTAGCAAGCACGCTTCTCATCGGCCTCGTTCCCTTTTTGTCATTTCAATCACATTTTCAATGAATCCACAAAGTTTGCTGGGATAACTTTGAAGCCCAATCTGTTCTGGATTACCAGAAAAATGTGATCCTCTGGAGAAAATGTTGTGTTTCTTCCTTTTATAGTTGATTTGCGTCTTTGTTTTATCTATCTATCTATCTATCTATCTATCTATCTATCTATCTATCTATCTATCTATCTATCTATCTATCTATCTATCTATCTATCTAGCTTCTTCCATCATCTGTTTTTCACTCTCTCCCCAAGGCTCTTCGTGAAAAATGATCTGAAAATGTCAAACCTCTTGTGGAGTCATTTCTACAAGCCTAGTTAGGACAGTTATTAAATATCACCGAACACGTGCAACAAAGGATCTGACAGTATCATTGTCCCTGTCATCACACAGTGAGCTGTAGAATCCATGGCACTGACAGGTTTGTATCTTTCAAACATGTCCACTGTAGATATGCATCTGCATGTCGTCTGGAGGGAGCTGTTCAAGTGGAATTCAGAATATTAATTTTGATAGTAGGGATGCATAGAAACTGCAGTGTTGTGTGTATGTGTGTGTGTGTGTGTGTGTGTGTGTGTGTGTGTGTGTGTGTGTGTGTGTGTGTGTGTGTTTAAATGAAGATAATTAGTGTATGAGAGAGCAAAAAGAAAGAGGGGAAATAACTGTTATGTGATAATGAGCTCAAAATAACTTACTACTGCGCCCTAAAAGTCATTGTTTGGAATTTATCACTCAACAAATATGACACTCTTTCCTCATCATAACAGGAAACCTTATGTCACATATAACATGATATAAGGAGTATGCTTATTAGACAGGCAGAAAGAAAATGATACTACAAGTCTGAGAAAAAACACATTCGATCGGAAGGTGCTGTGTGGTTGGGGCCGATAGCAGTTGGCATGATGTACCACAGAGCGACAAGGTGCTTCTGCCAGACTTTGTAGGACACACACACACACACACACACACACACACACACACACACACACCATCTGTTATAGACACAGAGGCAGTGCAGGGGCCAGACATTTACTTCACATGACTCAGAGACCGAAACACATCCAGATACCATATGTAGTTAATATGCATGACAGGGCGACATACTTTATACATGAAATAAATCTTCTTTTGAATCAAAGGGAAAGAAATGAACTATTTTGGATGTAATTAAACATTTTCATGCATGCTTTTAATCGTGAAACAAAAAGATGGTTAATGTGATACAGCAACTAAAGAATATTAGATCACTTGTGTGGATTGAATTATCAATCATTTGTTGAATTTGAATTTGATTATTTGATTTGATTGTGCAATATTCAGGTTTTATATCTATTTTAACTTGGTTAAATCATTTTGTCAAAAGAACAAGACCTGATTGCAAGGTGTCATTAGTAATCTCAGTTCTAAAACATTAAGGGGCTAAAACAGAGCGATCCCTTGCATAGCAACTACAGACCAAGTCCCCAAAAGGGCATACAAGATCCTCAGTGATGCCACACATGTCCTTTAAGATAATAAATGTGTTTTAGATTGCCTGCATGTAAAATAAACAGAAGGAAGGTTTGGTTTAAGCCACAAGACTTGTGGTCAGTCACGGTAAAATAGAAGGTGAGTTTATTTTATGTATAGATTGATAAATGCACTTCCACTTCTTGACATACTGTGCCTTCTAGCTGTTGGAAATTGTTTGCCTGCTGCAGACCGGCCTCTGCCAATAACCCTTTTGTATTTCAACTTTTTCCTTTACACCAACATATATTGTGGTTTTTGGTTGTTTTTATTTGTGTGAATGAATTGTTTGTGTGCTTGTTGTGTGTACTGGCCTCACATTGCCCTTTCAGGGACACATACATTATAATTGTAAACTGAATTGTATGTTTACAAAAAATTTTTTTTTTAAAAATCTTATCTTTTCTCATAATTCTATTTTTATATATATATTTTTACATTTGCCAGAGTTATTTTCTGCTGAAGACCAAATTGTCAAACTGTAGCCCCAAATAACATTTTATACAATTATACCTTTAGTTAAAATGATAATGTGACTTACGCAAACTCAGCAGATCACTATGCATTTTTTTTAATCTAAAAGTGAAAGAAGTGAAAAAATTTAAATGTCTAATTTCAGAGTTAACAATGAGCAAACTGAACCACTTAGCATAATAATAATAGCTTCACTTGCATATGTATGTTATTTGATGGAATTGGTTTTCTGCTGCTTTGATGGATGAGTGCAGCGTTGCTCCTGCGCCATTGTCTGAATGTGTGCGCGTGTGTCGACAGGGCAGGTTGTGTTTGGCTTCAGATAGAGTTTAGGTCGGGACTGGAGGGTTGGAGGTCAGAGTTTACCACTGGCTTCATGCTCCGCTGTGTCATCTGTCTTTGTTGGGTAAATCAGTTGCCTTCTGCCAGGGTCAAGGTTTGGTTAAGGTCAAAGGTCACCAACAACAGCGGGTGTCTTATGAGGCAAGGTGCTGCGTCTGTTACGTCTGCTGCGTCACAGACACAAAAGACACACACAGACACACACAAAGCTCTGCAAGCCTTATCTGGTGGGTGCAAGCCGACGTAACAGCCGGACGTCTCCCCCTGATGTAATGCTCATGTTTAAATTGCTGCTCATTCTGTCTGATCTCCATATCTAATTGACACCCCCAACACACACACAGTCTGACCTCTAGCCCTATGACACATACATTTTACCTTCACATTTTCTTCCCTACCTCCTTCCCAATCTTCTTCTCCATCCTCCCTCAATCTTTTTTTGTTACAGTTCTGCTCCATCTTTGGGGAAAGAAACCCCCAAAACCAATAAGAAAAAAGACTGCTTACTAAATGGTTTTCCCAGCACCTGCCCTCCCCCTCCTCCATCCATCCTTCCATCCATCCATCGCTCCATCTCTCTGCTCA